ATTTCAGACATAAAAATGTCATCAAGTATTCCCATTTAGTTTGCGACTTACCTAGCCAAACTTTTGTAGTATATTTCCTTATTTTCAAAATTGGTACGCAAAAAATAAGGTGGTATATGGAACTTGCTGCCTGTATGAGGAAAAGGCTTAATTAATTGGCATTTAGTAGAATTAGAGTGCACAGTTTCAGGATTTATCAAAAATACATCCCCTCATCATTGGAAATTCAGTGTAAATATTACTTTTTGAGTTTTAAAATTGTATCAGATTATCTAATTATTACGGACTTTAAGAAATCTGACAATTGAACTATCACAAATCTTTGATCTGAACACATTGTTATCCAACTTTTAAAGTGCCCTCAGAAAGACAAATTATGAAAAACATTACTAATAACAAGTATATAAAACAAACTTTTCATGACCTTGATATACAATAGAAAGACTTGATTTTAAGTAATCACTTAAATTTATTTTGTAAACTATTATAACTGAAATCTGTGTTATTCTAACCAATTTTAAAGAGAAAATGTTATACTCAATATCGTAAGTTGTTTCTCAAACTATTTGCTAGCATTTACATCTAGATGATTGTCTGAATCAACTCATTTCCTCTGAAATAAATTGAGGTTAAATTCTTTATTTCAAAGCAAGGATAGAAAGAAAATCTAGAAGCTTTTTAACTGAATATAATTAAACGTAGTAGCGTTTTGTAATATTGCCTATCCTAGATCTTGTTGTTGCCATCTTTTGCTATTTTTAAATTTTTTCAGACTCCCTGATGATCTCTACATTCCCTCTCCTTAAAGCTACATGATTGAGAAGAAATTAAAAAAACTTATCACATCTAAACAATCACACCACAAAGATTTCTTTTCAAACACAATTCACATGAAGAATGATCTTCCACTGTTAAGTACATCTCTCAGTTAACTTAACCCACGAGCCCAGGTAGGAAGGCTCATAGCAAGCAGTGTTGTGAAGCGAATGGTGTGTCTTATAAAGTTTGCTGCAATTGGCGATGTTCCGTTTTTCAAAATTATGCCGAAAAGTTTTGTCTTTTTAAAGAACCTTTATGCCTATAGTCCTCCAGGAGGACTTTGGAGTATCTTAGCTCAGTCTCGTTGTTCCTCAGTGTGCATTATAATACACACATACGATATGGATGCACATAAGACGGAAGTTTCCATTAGGATTAACCAGCTAGTGGTAACATCCTTATCTAATACAAGAGCGAAGTGCCAAAGCTTGGCAGTCCTGATTTCACACAAGCATGACCTGGGAATTTTTAAAAAATAATTTTGGTCCCATTTCTGACTAACTAAATTAGAATACCTGCAAGTACCTAGCGCCAGACATCTGCATGTTTTAATGGCTCCTCGGGTTATTGTAAAGTACAGCCATGTTTAGAATCACTGAATTAAGAAGAAATTAAAAATAAGCTACTTCTAATTTTGATGTTGCATCTGTCTAGTAAAAACACGTGAAAAACTAATGAAATATTTTACCATAATGTACTACAATGATATGCTGCCTTTAAATGCTTGAGTCAAAATATACTAGTTTTTTCTTTTTGTAAAAGTCATAAATGTTATGTATATTGACAAACATCAATGCATACTGAAGTTCTTAAAGGTAGAGATTGTCTCTTTATTATAGTAAACAGTCCTTAATATGGATGTTTTTCTTAATTAAATAATCACTAGCTGTCCCCATCTGACTCTACAGTGTACCTCAGTGACAATTTCAACTATACAATTTAAAAAGGAAGTGAAGAAAGGAAGGAAGGGAGGGAGGGAGAGAGGAAGGGAGAGAACAAAATTGCTAATTGCTTCTTTATTCAAAATCACACATTTATTTGTCTTTCCATCTGTAATTTACAATGTCCTAATTCCAAAACCACAGATGGAATTATCAAGTTCAATGATTCAAATGTTGTAGTTGTCTTTCTGTTCACTATAAATTTATTATCATTAATAACATCTTGCTATTCCATTTTTAGCAATACTCCACATATTCATGCAATGCACAAGTATTAAATAACATATATACAATATGTGGCTTTTCTAAATAATCTGCCTTCAGAGGAATTATTTAATTAGACATTGAAAGGAGCAAATAAAATAAAAGCTTGCTTCAGACTTCTAGGTTATTTGTGAAAGAGCCTTGGTAATTAGCGATCGTCTACATTTCTTGACCTTTTCATACGCATGGGCTCTTCAATTTCTTATAACTTTTGACTAGTTTAGGAGGAACAGCAGGCACTTAAAACATGCTTTTTAAATTGGACTTGATATTCCTTAAAATCATAAATATTCAATGTAATTTAAATGATTGGACTAGATAACGAATTTTCAAACATTTACAAATATACATTGTAAAAAATCCTAAAATTCATCATTCAATTTGTGTTATTGGTCAGTTTGTTATATCACAAAAAAAGAGCTCAAAATGTTCTCAGTTTATATATAACCAGTCAATTTTCTAAATGAGGAGTGGTACTTCAATGTGTTTTCCTTTTCCTTTAAATTCAAATGTTCTGAGAAAGTATAAAATAACTTGTATAGGTATCTATGGTAAAACACTAATTTGGCAAAATATGAAATATATTTAATTGCTACAGCAAATTTATTTCTGAGTTATTACTTAAATTATGCATTTGTGTTTAAAATGACATTGACCCATACTTATCTTACATTTTTGTATCATTCCTGCGTTTTCACACTCATGATGTGAATGCAATCCTTGCATTATTATTTTTACTATCGTGTAATGATGCTGAAAACAAACGTTTTTGCTGAATTTATCTTTCAAAAACCCAACAGTCAGTTGATACTGACATAGTCAAGTAGTAAAAGGTATGAAATAAAAATTCTCCACATCACTAATAAGGCCAAGAACTTTTTAGATGTTCTCAGTACATAGTATGTCTATAAAACTCTGAGGCACAATAAAAAAGTGAGAAGTATATGTAATATTTCCTGCACAGCACGTAAACAGTTTTGTAGAACTATTTTGAAGATGTTGAACTCAGGTTTTTTTTTTTTTCACTTCATCTGCAAAGTTCTGGATTGTGTAAAACTGCCCTGTGTTTTAGCTAACTTGAGAAGGCTATGTCTTTACTTTGGCATTTCATTTCTTTGATTTGAAAAGGCATTTGATACCAGTACAGATATTTTCGTGATGCCCACAATCATGTTCACAAACCTTTCCTTTCCTTTTACAATATACCCAGTTTTGAAATTGAGGAAGAGTGGTGATTTTAATACAAGCTTCAAATTCATTGGGATTGAAAGTTTTCAATTATTTTAATTTTAATTAAATGATTTGTTTATTAACTTTGAAAGGGAGTATGCATGAGCCCCTTAAAAATAAAACGCAATCTACTAATTCTGAAACTTTCTGGGATTTCCAAGTCAGTGGGTTGAAATGAATTTACATTTTCCAAAATCCCAATTACCGTAAAAAAAAAAATGTTAAGAATTAAATCCCTTCTACTACTGTAGTCACAAAAAATAGTTGTGTGTCAGATTTCCAGAGATATATTGTTAGATATCTAAAAACAGCCTTTTAAAACTAGGGGTATTTTAGTGTTGATTTTAAATGGCAGGAAACTATGAGATAAGAACTCTTCTGCTAAGAAACCTGTCTATAGATGGGATTTCCCATGATTCAGAGAGTGTGATGAACTTACAACACACCCTCTCTCCCCAGTCGTTCCAATTAAAACAATTTAAGAATTTAAAGTATTAAAGAAATTTAATGTAATGGAAATGAGACGTAAAAGAATTAGCAATCAAACTTGCCCTTCAAAAGACTCATACATTTCTACACAACAGAAAGACTAATATTATAAAGTTTCAGATTTGGCCATGTATTTTGATTTTCAGTGGCAGAAATAACTAGAAAATAAATCCATAATCTAAAATATAAAGAGTAGCAAAACGAGGACTGCAACCCATTACTTTTTATATCATCTCTAGCATGACAATTGAATTTGAGCAAGGCATGATAAAATGGGTGAGGAAGATATGAGTGGCAATATTGTCAAGAACTGAACGTCCAAAGCACAGTATTGACATCTTCGGGTAACATGATTTATTTCATCGTTGTCTTGTAAAATCATGAAGTAAGAGTGGCGAGTGCCTTCCATGGATTACTTACTGGATTACCTGAAACCAATTTTAAACCACTCTCTTTGTAGCAAACGTTACGAATCCTCACCACTTCTATCAGTGTTTCTGAGAACTGTGGAATTTCCTGAGCAGTGTGCAGAAGGCGGTGCTCCTGAGTGGGCTCTTTGCTCAGCTCTGTGGTTGTTTGCGAGGTTGTTTCCCAGCTCTGCTGTCTGCTGGGGAGCCAGAGTTCTTGCTAAAGGCAGCTGGGCACGGGTGGAGGCTCAGGTGCTGCAGCTGGGCAACCTCTGCTCAGCACGCGTTTTGGCTTCCACACGACACGACCCGGCCAGGTTAAGGGGGCGCATTCCTAACAGTCTCGGTCTAGAAGGTCTTTACCGGGGTGATCGCGCTTCGTTCAGCGAGTACCGAGATCTTACTTATCTCTGGGCTCATCTTGGCGTGAGGCAGGCCCCAATTACCACCGGGACCCAAGGAAAGTAAGAAGCCACAGTCACACCGCGTCTGCGCCCGTCGAGTCCGGGGAGCCCCAGCCGCGTGCGCTCGCAGGAGGGTGCGCGACGCGGGGTCCACACGCGCGCGGGGCGGGCTGGCCGAGGGCGTGCCGGGGGCGTGGCGCGAGGTGTCCCGACGAGGCTCCGCGCAGCGGGCGGCGGGGGGCGGGACACGGATGGGGCGGAGGGTGGGATGTGGGGGGGGGGGAGAGGGACGCGGCTGGCTAGGGCTGCGCGGCGCCGCCTGCGGCTCCCGGCTCCCGCTCTCCCGGCCGCCGAGCCCGAGCTGCCGTGGGCGGGGCCTGTGGTGATTGGCGGGCAGGCGGGGAGGTCGGAAGTACTTTGTTTTTTATGCTAATGAGGGAGTGGGGCTTGTCCGTATTTACGTTGAGGCGGGAGCCGCCGCCCTTCATTCACCCACATGGTCTTTCGAGGTGCCGCTGCTGCCGCCCGGCCCGCGCCTTCGCGCCACTTCGCGCCCTCCGGCGAGGCCGAGGGGGTGGGGACGGCCACCGCCGCGCCGCCACGGCTCGCGCCCCTTCGCGAAGCCCCCTCCACGGGGCGGACCGGCGGACTGGCCCTCCTCACCCCCCGGCCTGGGGCCTTCGGTCGTAGAAAAGCGGAGGTGGGTGGGGAGGCGGGAGCGAGAGCCCGCGACGGGCCAGGCGAAGATGGTGGCGGCTACTCCTCCCGGTGAGTGTGCCCGCCCCGCCGCCGGCGGAGGGAAACCTGTTGTGTGCCGCGCGGGTCCGGCGGGCGGGGCAGCGGCCCGGGGCGGACGGCGCGGGGCAGCGTGGCGGCGGCGTGGCCGGGCCGGGCCGGGCGGGTCTCGGGCCGTTGGCCGCGGACGTGTGGCAGGCGCTCTCGCTGTCCCGGTCGCACGCGGGCCGGCGGAGGGCAGGGCCGGGGAGGCGGGGTGGACGGGAGGGGGCGGCGGCCGCGCCGGGACCCGCGCGGGCCGTGCCCGGGCCGGCCGGAGGGCGGGTGGGCGCGCGGCGCACACAATGGCTCTCGGGGAGGCGACGCGCGAGGCCCGCGTCCCCCCCAGGGCCCTGGGCGCGGGCGGGCCGCGGGGTCTCCGGGCAGGGAAAGTTTCTCCCGGGGGCGAGAGTTAAAGCGCCTGCAGAACAAAGCGGCGGCGGCGGCGGCCGCACATGGGGCAGGCCGCGGGCCGGGAGGGGGCGCGCCCACGAGGTACCTGCGCGCCGGCGGGCGGCGTGGCGTGGCGTGGGCGGGAGCCTGGCGCCCCTAAACTTTGCGCGCGCGAGGGGGGGCGGAGGGGCGCGGGAGCTCCGGGCCGCGCGGCCTGGCGCCGACCCCGCTCCGCGTGGGCTTTGTTAACCCGCGTGGGCAGCTCCCGGGCGGGGCTCCCAACTTCCCCGGCTGCAGCCCGCGGGGGGCAGCCGGGAGCCCGCGTCGCCGGCGGCGTGGAGCCGCCCTCGCTCGCCGTGTCCCCGGGAGCGCGGCGCGGGAGGAGCTGGCCGGCTCGGCGGGAGCGGCGTCCTCGCCGCCATGTTCCTGTGGGGCGGGCTGCGCGGGGGTGAGGGCGGGGGACATGGCGGCGACTGCGCGCCGCCGCCGATTGTTCCGGGCTTAGGCCTCGAGCCGCGTGCGACGGGCACCGCGGTCGCGGAGCCCCCGCCCCTCTGGGCTGGGCTGGGAGGGGGGCCGGGGGACACAAAGGAGGGGCGGCGCACCCGCGTTCTCGCCGCGCTCGGGCCTGGCCGCCGCCGGTCGCCGCGCGGCTGCCGCCGGGAAACGGGGTGTGGGGAGTTGCCGCGTCCGGCGGCGCCCGACTCTGACCCACCGCCCCCTGGCGGCGGCGCGGGGACCCGCAGGATCGCGAGCCCCCTTGTGCGACATGTGCTGCCGGCCTGGGCTCCATGAGCGTGGCGGGCACTTTGCAGGATCGGAGATTCCCGTCCTGATCTCTCTCCTAAGTTGGAGCAAAGGGGGAAAAGAACTGGGTAGGGCAGGCTCCTTCCTACGTTATTACAAAAGCAAAAAATTAGCAACATGCCATGAGGACCACAGCAGTTGGAAGCAACTCTTTATCCAGGCTTGCAGCCACGAGGTCTCGATGGGGGGAGGGGTGGCGAAGAATAGTCCCTGGTTGCTTTTTTTTCCCTCTCACTGGAGCTGTACAGTACAGTTAATGATTACTGCTGGTCATACCCCAGTATTTTAGGATCCTATTAATTGAGGCATGTATCTGATTACCTAGTGATTTTCCAACTTTAAGTCTTCCATACATTGTTGATCTTTAAAAATCCTGCTCATTGCCTGGTCCTGTTGCCTTTGGTTTTGCATGTAGATGAAATTAATTGTCACTAAGAGGGTGAAGAAGAGCAGATTTAAATATGGATTAGTCTAGTGGTGGTAATTTTGAACAAATATGTTGATCTTTTTTCCCCGTCCACCCCCCCCCCCACAGTCATACACGTGGACCTAGCAGCACCAAAAGCTTTCCTGAGGATACTTGTCTGAGAAGTTTTCCTAAATGGTGGGTAAGTATATTTTAGTTTTTTTAAGTTAATTTCTCTTCTGTATTTTAGTTTTTTAAGTTAATTTTTCGTCTAAACACAATTTTGCTGGGGTTTTAAGCATGACATAGGTGTTTGTCAAGTTTATCTTTCCTAGAAAAATAATTCATTTTGTATGGGTCAGCTAGCTTTATTAAGGTACTAAAGTACAGTGCAAGTATTTATGGAGACGATAAGAAATACTTTTAGCTCTTTTTAAGTTGGGTGATTAAACTAGATCTAATTTTGGGGTGGTAAATTTAAGATTGTAAGCAGTATATTGAATTTGCATAACTAAAACTTGAAATGTAGTTCAAACAGTAACTTTGTTAATCATCTGCTCAAGAATTTGCTAATGAGACGTCAGAAGAAAAGAAAATGCTTTGCCACGTGGATGTGAAGATTATCTCCAAAAGGTACTCAGGAGTCAAATTGCCCTGTTAATACTATTTCCATTTATGTGCAGTGGTTTTGATTTTCTCATGGTATGTATGTGAAAGACCAAGTACAAAGAAGAGCCACCAATCTCTCGGTGTTACAGTAGTGACTGTTATGCCTTCTATAAAGAATCACCTATTTTTTTAAGGTTTAAATATCTAAATGGAACCTGTAGAAACTTAATTTTCTCTTCTTTGTTAGAGGTTATGCAGAAATTCATGTGTTTCACAGCTCTAGAGTTTCAGGTGGTACTCTTATCTAATTATTTATTTCAAATTTAGCAGGAGTAAAAACATCACCTTGTAAAACTGAAGATTGTGACCAGTCAGAATAATGTCAAAGTGCTTACAGTGCAGGTAGTGATATGTGCATCTACTGCAGTGAAGGCACTTGTAGCATTATGGTGACAGCTGCCTCGGGGAGCCAAGCTGGGCTTTAAACCTCAGGGCCTGCTGATGTTGAGTGCTTTTTGTTCTAAGGTGCATCTAGTGCAGATAGTGAAGTAGATTAGCATCTACTGCCCTAAGTGCTCCTTCTGGCATAAGAAGTTATGTTTTCATCCAATAATTCAAGCAAGTATGTAGGGGTTTTCATAGTTTTTGTTTGCAGTTCTCTGTTAGTTTTGCATAGTTGCACTACAAGAAGAATGTAGTTGTGCAAATCTATGCAAAACTGATGGTGTCCTGCTATTTCCTTCAAGTGATTTTTACTAATTTTTGTGTACTTTTGTGTCGATGTAGAATCTGCCTGGTGTAGCTGATTTGACAGCTTCTGTAGCACTAAAGTGCTTATAGTGCAGGTAGTGTTTCATTATCTACTGCATTATGAGCACTTAAAGTACTGCTAGCTGTGGAACTCCACCTTCGGCCTGTCTCCCAGTCAAACTGTCCTGTTAACTGAACACTGTTCTATGGTTAGTTTTGCAGGTTTGCATCCAGCTGTGTGATACTCTGCTGTGCAAATCCATGCAAAACTGACTGTGGTGGTGAAAAGTCTGTAGAAAAGTAAGGGAAAATCAAACCCCTTTCTACACAGGTTGGGATCGGTTGCAATGCTGTGTTTCTGTATGGTATTGCACTTGTCCCGGCCTGTTGAGTTTGGTGGGGATTGTGACCAGAAGATTTGGAAATTAATATTGAAGATTCCAATATGCTGTAAAATACTCAAGAGATACAAAACAGAAAAATGTTCTGTAACTTCTATTAGTTTTGTCAGTGTAAAGCATCTTTTTATTTCTTGAAATTAAATGTTATCTTTTGTCCTGAAAAACTTCAATTTGGTTGAATGTCAGATTTAGTTGTAAATTGACTATCAAGTGTTCTAATATGATTGTGGTGTGGCAGAAAAATTTGCTGTGAATACATGGCTGTCTGTAAAGTTAAGAGTTTTTGTTCACTTTGGACATAATGTTCAGGAAGTTTTACTTAAGCATATGGGTTTTAAAAAAAAAACAAACAGTCATTTGAGGATGAGGTTTTTCCCAGAAAATAGCTAGTTTTTTCCTGAGACATGAGTTCTTGGTGTTTAACAGTTAAGTGGTTGTACACTAGTTTTTCTTTGTATATTATCTTGTAAGGGACTGATACAGGATTCCCCAGACTAACCTTACCATCTGAAACCCAAAAAAGGAATTAAAAAGAAAAAAGGCAAGTTGGTGCATATATATGCATACTGCCCTAATGCTAGCCATATAACAATGGGGCTAAAATATGAAATCATTTCTCCCAAGAATATAGTTAATATTTAGGTTCCCTCCTTATAAGCTTGACTTGCAAAAATGAGGATTGATTCCAGGCTGGTGTGAACCGTTTTATCTGACTTTTCTGCCTTTTGCTTTTGTTTCATGTGTTTTATCTCTAGTCTGTTACTTACAAATAAATAAATGCATGGGTTAGCTTGACAATAGTCAGATTGAAAAGGACAGGATATTACAATTGGACCCAAGCTTAGATCCAGAAACTTGCTGATTGATCAGTAGGTTGTGTGAAGTTAAACATTATATTTTGGAGGAAACTTAGTAAACTTTCATGACCGTGGCGATGGGGTAAACTTACTTTTTTAGCACTAATGTTATCTGTTCTTAAAGAAATTTAAGAAGCAGTCTTGGATTCCAGAATAGGAAGGTAAGAGTTTTCACTTTTCTGAAGTAAAAATTTTCCAGAAAATAATCTGAATTGTACAGTGATTTTTAAAACTGCCATGTAATTGTTTTTGCCTGAGTTCTTGAACCTTTGAAGGAAACCTAAAACTAGTCTTGCTTTGGTAAATGAAATAAATACATTGATTTAAACTGTTGGGAAAGTTCTGTAAAGTTGGCATGGTTTAAGGTAATATGCAAGACTGCATTCTCTAGTTATATATGAAAAGTGCTTAAATCATCTTGTTTTAAAGTTTTTGGTATACTAGTGTCATTTTAAAAAGTGGAACCAGTCATGAAGTCTGGCAGATGGTTCCTTAAATAGTGTGAAGCATAAGTCCAGTTATAACAAGGTCCTAAATGGTTAATTCCTGTCACTGAATGCTGAACCAGGATAGTACTCAGTGTGTTCAGAACTTGGACTTGAATTGAGATTTAATTATAATAAACCAAATTAATGTGTGTCTTGTGGGGATGTCAACAAGCCAATGTCTTACAGGGTTTAGTAGGAATGGGTTTTGATTTGTTTCTTGCTTTAAGAATATGTGGCAAATTTTATATTCTTTTTTGTATTTAAGACAGATCATGCAATATAGCATTGATACTTAATTTAGCCATTTTTTGAGATAAGTGAACAAGTTGGTAATTGTCTCATCTACAATCTGGGGAAAAAAGAAGCCTTGACTTTCTTAATGTTGGCTTTAAGTTTTGAAGTCTTGACTTATTGTTGTGTTGCTTTAAGCTTGATAACCTTAAAACTTCTCAGGGAAAGGGGACTTTTTATTATTGTCTTACTTGTCCTGTCCTTAGTTTTATTCTTTATTTAGAAGAAAAGCACTTAACCTTTTATGAATTCATTCTTTTTAAAGCTGTTTGAAAGTATTGGTGATTTTACTGAAAACTTTCAAGATTTTCATTTTACAGGCAAACCTAACTACAGCAAGTCAGACTACGTTTTCCCTGTTCATAGTGTGAAGAGTCCTACAGACTGGTTCCTGACAAAATGCGACCTGCAGCAGCTTGCAGCTTTCTGTGTTACACTAAAAGTTTACTGTTCTTAGTGAATTACTGTTCTGTTACCTCAAGTGGATATCCCTGTGTAGTTGGTCTATCATTAAGAGTTAGCTTAGTGGCTGAATGGTAATAGAAAGGACAGCTCAGTGTGCGTGGGTCAGTTTTGAATATCTGACTAAGTGTCATGCCCACTTGAGACTTGACAGATTACTTGAAGGCTGAATTAATGTAGTTTTTCTGATTTGCTAAATTTATGATGTACTCTTACAGTTTTAAAGGATCATTTAAAATCCACAAACTGCATGTATTTAAATACCATGGAAAATAGCTAAAATGCTTACTTTTCATCGCAACAATCGGAACACATTCAAAGCAGTTTGGTAATTGATTTTTTTTAGTTCATTTAATGTTAAAAATTGAGTTGTAAAACAACTCATTAAGAAATTGTACATAATGAGCATATTGAAATAAATGTTATTGTAGCAGATTTTTGTGATCTTGTTTGTTACTACACATGGCTCGAGTTTTTTGCTTATTGCAGAAATGGGGTATGATTGTACCCATTGTTTACATGGTTTTAGGAGTATACGGTGAAATTACATTTGTAGTCTTACATTGACTTTATTACATAGATTAAAAAGTGTTTAAAAGCTTAAATTGCATTGAAATGTTTAACAATCTGATCTATACTTGGAATTTAATTTGGAGTAGACTATCACTTCAATAGGTAAAGAAGGAAGTTAAGACTTATGTTGTAAAATAGAATCCTAATTCAAGGTGGTTTTAAGCCATGCGTCAGGCCCAGTTCCATTCCTGGACACAATGCATAGGTCTGATTTAGTGAATTAGAGTGATTATGCATTTACCAAGACAGATTCTTAGCCACAGTTGAGCATTAGAATTTTCAAAACATGGCTTGGACCTTTAATCCAGTTGGAATGTGTTACAATATTTTTAATTGTGAGTTGGGCAGTGGGCCAGTAAGTATTTGGGGGAGTGTCTTGGTTTTTGTGTGTACAGCATTTCAGAATATAACCACTACCCTAAATTGTCCATGATGATGACCTATACAAACCCCAAAGGACATCATATTATCTTGAAAGAGGTAAGAGACTAAGGAGCAAAGTTTTATAAATTCCATGTGCATTTGTTCCTCTTAGGTTTTTTTAATAACTGACTTGGCTTTGCATTGCAACTTTTAGCCAGCTCTTTGTTTCTGAATCCACAGCTTTTCCTTAGTGTAACTTTTAAATTTTCTATTTCTGCCCATAAATGTGCTAGATGCGTAATTTGTTTCGAGGGTTGTTCACAGTGAGTCTACTTGGAACAAGTAAGGGTGTACAGAGTAAAGGCCAAACCTTCCAGTTGTTGGTCATCTCCGCCATTTGACTCTCCCTTGGTCCATCCATCTCTCTGTTCCCCCCCACCCATACACACTCTTACACACTTCCAGGCTTTCAGAGTTAGCCTCAATGCTTAGTTTTCTAGAAATTACACTCAATACAGTCTTCTCATTACTACCCTTAAAGAATCTCAAGAATTCTTTTTTTTAATTTTCAAAAGCTTAATCCTGGTATTCATAGAACCGAAAGTTTACTTGAGACCCCAGTGCATTCACTTATCCTTTTATTTAAATGCTTACCTCATCCTTTTTATTGCCCTTAGTCAAACAGATCAAATGAGATCTTCCCCCAGACTGTATACTCTACCCCTAAGCATTTTTTCCCCTAAAGGATAGTAACAACACCTGGGATCAGAGGTTCTTTCTTCGGACCTGCAATGGTATCTTCATTATTAAAAATGGAGTGTGTCCCTGGGGATTTGAATATATGTGGTCCATTTGGTGCATACTCATTATCTAAAACCATACCTATTGGGTAGATCTCACTGCACAAACAAGTACCAAGTGTGGAAGTGCCAATACATAAGTTAATATTACTAGGATAACTTCAGGCTCTAATACAATATACTGCAGTAGTCAACGCTGGGGCACATTGAAAAGTATGTGGTTGAGGTAATTGGCATCCATAAGAGTCTTAGATTAAGTAGTTAAGGAAAAGTGACGTAGACACTAGTCCTCTAGCAAATATAAGTGAAGACCCTTACGTCTGAAGGATCCAGGGGAGGAAAAAACCTGAATATGTTCTATTTAAATGGGAATGTTAAAGTGATCTCCTGGATATGCTCAACTGGCTCCTAAATTTCACCAAGTAACCGGTAATAGGGTGAGTGAGCACTTGCCAAACTCAATACTAAGAAAGGCAATTCTGAGAGGTATTGCTCAGTGGCAGATTAGTATTTCCTAATGTGCTGCCTTATGAAGTAAGGTCCTGTCTTGTAGTTTTTAAAATGGTTTTCTTGTTCTCTGAAATGCCTGGAGTTTAAATAGCCATGATGAAGGCATTTAGCATTTTAGTTTTCCTTTTCTA